CCTGTGAGTCTGTGCCAGATAACTTTAAGGCTTGTTATTAAAGCTGTAATTTCTTTTGGGAAAACCACATAACTCATCAAAATTTAATAAATACTGGGGAAAACTTTAATCAAATAACTTTTAAATTATGAATTTGTGACTCAAAAATACAATAGTAATAGTAACAGTGGTAATAATTATAATATAAATAATGACATCAATAATTTTTTTTTCAGGAGGATTTGCACGTAAAGCGGGGAACAAAGAGGTGGGGTAAAGCCCCACTAATTTGAATCATAGATATTTAAAATGGTTTAAGAAAAAGCTACATAGATATCTGTCGGATTTGCAATTAATGTTTGGAAACAGGAGAAACTCGAAATAAGACTTTCCAGGGACTATAAAAGTCCTGACTCGTCTTTCGATACCCAACTTGCCCATAAAACTCTTGTCACCACTTGCTTAACTTATCCCATGCATTCCATTAATTACTACTTACCTATTTAATTTCAAATAAAAATGATAAGCACAACTTTGTATTTCTATGGTGGTAGGATCTGAGTGTGGCATCGTATAGCGTATCCAGATGTCCAAGGAAAAGTTTTCCACCAGATGTTCAAATTTAAGTAGAACCTTTGAAGCATTCGAGACAAAAACAAGCAGACAAAAGGATCAAATTGATGACAGTAACCAATAGAATTGAATTAATTAGGTTCGAGTCAGAAGTAAACGGATAAAATACTTAAAAGATGTATTTTAAACGATTTTCCGAGTCAGTTGGAGAAAGTCGATCAAATGATAGAGTCTCTAAGACGCTCCAATGAGAGGGTCGGAATCCACTACGCGAAACTTTATACTAACGCTTCTGCTACTACTGACAAAAAAACATCGACGTTGCATGCATTACTGAAACTTACCTCGATAACACTATACCAACACTATACCCCTCGTCATCCACAACTACACGGACTACTGACGAGGCAGACGAGAAAATCCTACGACAAAGTGGTTATTCTTGTTCACTTTCTCTTCCTGTGACATGCAGAATTATATCTTGTGCCTCCTAAAGCTGATATCGATATCTCCCTCTTACATAATCCTGCTGTTTTACTCCAACGTCCTCATTGGGATGCAAACACGAGAACCTACGGACGTATGATGAAAGCTTACTTTTTCTGTATGAACAGTCCACTTTTATCATATGTTTCTCCAGGAACCCATTATTTAGTCAAGTTTCTACAACACCCATATTAATCGACGCGCGATCTGGGCGGCAGAAACAAAAATATTGAAGAACAAACTTGGGTCATAACGTGTTATCGAGAGTCTGTAAATTGCTTAACAACATCATCAAATTTATATGCTTCTACTAATTAAAGAAAGTTGAAAAATTGGTTAAATTTAATTTTTGAAAAAAGTATTATCTGAAGTTTTGACAAAATTTGGTCGCCAGTTCGAAAAATATTTTATCGAAAGTGTATGAATCATGTAACTGAATACCATTATCTTTAACATACAACGTAAACATTTGTATGAAAAATATGTTTTTAATCATTGTTTTTTGTGTAAATAAAATTTAAAAACAATAAAAAAGATTAATTTACTGTAAAATATGTTTTCTCTTCGTAGTTTCTTTTTTATAATGTTCCAAATCTTTCATAATGTGTAATTTCTAAGAGCGTAGGACAAAGTGGCTTGTTATCCCAACAGCGTATAATGATGTGTTATCCTAAAAAGGCCATTAGAGTAATGTCGAAATATTGATTATTAAACAATACAAACAATAAAAACAGTTATGTTTTAAAATCACCAAAAATGTTATATTATTACATAAATAAAAAAAAAGAAGAATTTAATGATGGATGGCAAAATAAAAATTATATAAGACGTAGTACGGTCGTTTGCTAAGATGAAATAATGAGAGAAAAATTGTAAGAATTTTGTACCTTTTTTTATAAGCATAATGTGTACTTATTAATTAAAATATAAAATATATAAATATTTAAATGGTGTTGAAAAAAAAGTGTCAATAACGAACAACGAGCCAAGCGCGTTTAATATATAACTAGTGTACTGAAAAATTTATGAAATCACTAAAAAAAATGAAATAATTCTCCCAACACGTTTTAATTTCATCTTTAAAAAGGATCAAGGATAAAGATAAATTTACTTCGTGAGCACCCCAAGACCACAGAATCCCACGTAACAACTCCTTAGAAAAAACTCACGTTTTCACCATGTCAGGGTTCGCTGATGAATTATTTGTTTTAAGATCATATGGCATATTATGACAATTTGGTCAACGACCGATTACCTTTGCAGATGATTCCAGCAGAAGCATAGATTCATTGACGCATTCTCAATCAATCAATTCCATCGCAGATGTGCAAGAATTCCCTTCTTCTCGCTTTAACTGGCGGGCCTTCGGCACACGTAGCGTTTTGTCAATTATTATCGATTTAGTACTGCGTTTATAAAAAAATTCAAATAAATTGCCATCTCTAAATGAAAACTCTATTTAAAAAAAACGTTTTCCTACGGTTGTATGAAAAATGAAAAAGTTAGGGTAATTTTTCCATCTTCAGAGCACCTCTGATAGTAAAAGTGATAAAACATTTTCAATTCAAAATTTCACCTCAAAAATGGTCACTCACAGAGGTTTTAAGGGTCAACAAAGAGTCTGAATAAAAACAATATCGCCACTGCGTTGATGTAAATATCTATGTTAAGTAATTATTTTTAATTTTCAAAACAAGTACATTTTTATTTACAAAATAAAATTCTAACGAATAAGGTATCATCAATAATTTGTAAAAAAAAAAAAAAAAAATGACAGTTTTACGTTCATTACTTATTGAAAAATAAATCGCAATTTTACAGTCAGTATTTATGAGAACGAAAAATTGAGAATAAGATTGATAAAATCAGAAAAGCTTAAAGAAATGATATGCAACGCTAAGAAGCAATTTTAAGTGACATTTTTACAAGGTGTCGAAAGAGTCGCGTGTAGTGAATGTATGAACATGAGATACAGTTGCTCGAAACTCGGTAGCATACGTGTAAAAAGAATTTCACACTATTTTACATTTTTGAATAGCAAACAGATCCTCAGTCCCTCTTTCATCCTGGCTTTACCCTCAAATCGATATTTTTCGCCTTAAAAATAATTCGAAACTTTAAACGCTCGTATCTTCGCAAATAATGGACACTGTTCAAAATCAGAACATGCTACACACTGTTTGTATAAGTTACCTTTGACATTAATGTCTTGTTTAAAATACACAAATTTTAGGTATTTCAGTCCTATGCTAACTATTATCATACACTGATTTTATGTATTCATTAATATCACTTCAAGTAAGAATGTACACACATTCAACGAAATTTTGACATTTAATTTGTATAACTCAGTAAGTTACACAAAATGTTTAACTGTGTACTTAATCGATAGACGTGTGTGCTTATGTGGAGTGCATTAGTGCACCGATAGAAGCACTTGTACAACATTCGTATCACTACATGTGCTTTTCGGGACCTTATCTGCAGGTACTAATGGCACATTGGACTACTCCGTGCTCAACGGCGTTTGAATATTCATGCGTGAAGTGTACCTATACCTACTCGCATCGGACAGTAATTGCTATTCAGTTATTTATCCATCGTGGGCGATACAATGCTTCGCTGGTTCATTTTAAATATTTAATGGTCTAACACTTCAAAGACTCCAACTCTTTTCGTCTCCCGCTAAATCAATAGTAACTTGTGAAAACTACACATAAAAAAATATATTTGCACTCATCAATCGTTTGAAGTGAATAAATACACAAATCAGAGATTTATCAGAGGTTTGACCAATTACTTCTCTACAAGTATTTTCTAATTGGTATTTATTACTTTTCTTCGTTTCCAAACCGCAAGATTACATAGTTGGATTAGTTTAATGAATAATTAGTTTATTTTACCATTGAATTAAATTATTAAATAAAAAGCTATTTTAATTAGTTATTCAGTTTAATTCTTCATTAATAACATTTTTGATCCAAAATCAAATTTAATGTTAACGGGAGTGAATTAAATATTTTAGAGGATATAATCATACACGTAAGCTTTTGCAATTTCATAAAAATACAGCCTTGTAATTATTACAACAAAAATAATATCTTGTACTGTTATAGTAAATGTATACAATATGAAAGCAAAACGAAGCCTAAAAAATGATTAGAGACTGGATGAATGAAAATGAAATATCTTTTTTTCTCGTTAATTGAGTGATGCAAGGGAGCGCGGCCGCGTCAACGCACAAATGCACCTTTATTTTCTGGTCATTTCACACTCGAGCTAACCAACATAACGTGTATACACGAGGGAGTGGAGAATAGTACCCAAAGAGAGTGGAAAGGAACGAGCCAACACAAAAGAGATTCCCTACCGACAAAAGCGCAAAAAAGAAAAACTTGAAAATTTTCTCACTGTGAAAATATGGAAATTAGATTGCAGCTCAAGCACTGCGTGGATATATATATGCACATACCTACTTACGCGGACAAAGGTGGTATTCTCTTTGTACGAGTGAACTGTACATTGAGCAAGAAATACCAAAAGTAATTCAAGAGATTCAGGAAATGAATCACCAGAAAAATAATAAGAAATTCTTCTTAGCAGTCTATGATTTATGTGCGTTTAATAAATTTATTTTTTACATCATGAGCTTGCAAGCACCCCCACACACTCGCGTGATTACGTGTACACTTATTATTAAACTAATATTTGTTGTTAAAATTACGGAAAAGGAGAAAAATCTTTGTGCGACTGATATTGTTCCCTCCACCCACACGAAGAAATGGTAACAAAAATAAATAACAACGATATAAAATGTTAACACTACATTCCAACGGAGAAGCGATGAAGGTAAATTATGATACCATACACGATACTCACAGCAGTATCTTATCGTTGTCTTGTAAAAAATTGAAACAATAAAGTTGTTTGGACATAGATGCACCCCTTTCTACCCCATTTATCAGTGCACAAAAGTATGAAGTCGGGAAAAAGTACATCCATTCCTATTTGCTGGCCCAAACAAAGCGAGAGCTCGTTAATTTGCACGAAGCTGGAAATTCCGCGTAATTGGGCATCGCTATTTTATACGTTCAACCCGTTATTTTACGAAGTTACTTCGCACGTGCATCCATATAGTGCACGGAAGTAAAAAAAAAGACTAGTCTGGTTTTTTCGCCCTTTTTTCTTTACAGTGTTCAGAGCAGAGCACAGTAGACGAAATTAACAACTTTGAAATCAAAAGTAAAAAACCCCCGACAGCTCAATTATTTTGCAATTACGCGTTTCTGGGACGATGGAAGGGAGCGAGTTTTTAGCGATGATACATTTAAAAGATTAATTGCACCCTCCTGTGTATTAGGTATATACATACACGTAGTCGCTTATCGGCCCAAGTGTGCGCGCACAAAAGGGGGTTGGTACCTAATGAGCTCACTTCATCCACGTCAGCGCTGCCGTAACAAGCTCTTGGGGTTGTGTTTTATTTTTTCCTTTTTTTTTTTTTTTTTCACGCACTAGTAGTATAATAATCTCGGATTTGCGTTGTGAATTACATATAGTCTAATACCATGGAGCTTTTTTAAAGTTTCAAATAAAAACGATTTCAATAGGATTACAGTTTGATTTTCGAAATAACTCAAAGACTAAATTATTTGTTGAGTAAAGTAATTCATAAAGCAAAAAGCACTTTTTTTTTACGTTCTTGCACATGCAGGTACAACCAAATCATCGCATTTATTTTTTGTTTGAATTCAGCTGCCGATCCTTGCGTCATCGATGCCAGTGACCAACTTCAGAGAGACAAGCCGTCCACTCCCACTGCCCCTCACACCCCATCAACTACATCAAAATGTTGCCAAAGTGTGTGGTATGTCCTGCTGCTACGCCAAACCTTAGAAGATGAAGAAAGCATTGGGAATTTGGGGATCACTGGCGCTAACAAACCACTCAGACTGTCATGATTTTTCCTCTGGGGAGCTTGGAAGAGACTCATATTTGTCTTCCTAGTACCGTTTTGAAAGTACTTTGATTTATTGGCTTTTCGGAATAGGAAACGCTGATACATGGGATTTTTTTACTTCTCATCAGTTTTGAACAATCAGTGATCAGTGGTTTTTGATATAATTGTGATAAATTGTAAAAAGATACTGGTTATTAACTCTTATACTGTAATAAATATTACGATATTAATAAATAACAATTTCATTTATATTCAATTAAATGTATTATTTGAATTTACACTAATATATTAATGTGAAATTCTTTCGATGTAACATGTACCCTTACTTTGATTTATCCATACAGTCTACCTACTGTCAACATCTTATATGTACGTAATTTGTAATTTACAATACAGACACTTTTCATTTACAAATAACTTTTATTATTACTCTAAAATGTAGAAAAGCTTCATTCAATATAATGATGTATTTTATTTAATTAATTAATTATTAAAAGATATATTTACTTGGGGATCAGGGAGATACAAAATTGAAATATCACAAAAATCAAATCACTTATTTAATGCATATGTAGGTAGCCAAGGTACCAAAATATGGTGGAAGAATAATTAACAAAACGTACAAGTTCTCATACACACACAATGTATTTTCACATTTATAGAATCTCAAAAATCTAATTAAAAGTTTCAGTGTCCCAATAAAAATTTTTTTAATCTTTGGACAGGTGTTTTGCAATAAGCTTGGTGAAACCCGTTGGACGGTGGATGCAACGCAGAATTACGTGACTTGTAAACGCGAGAAAAATCCACGTACGTGAAGCTGCTAGTAAAAAAGATGGAAAAAAATAAGCTCGTGTCGCGCAAAAAAAAGGAGCGAAAAAAATCGCACTCTCGTGAACTTTAGTCGCGTAGGACGTAAAGTTTACGAGCTTTGCCGTTTTCCGTGTTCTCTTGTGCGGGTACGTGCAGCTATACGTATCGTCCCCTATTCTTTTTTTCCTCGAAATAAGGAAGGTAAGATCTGCGTTACATCACATTACACCACTGGATTTCGAAACTACCCTCAGTTGCACCAGAGAGTTGTAATCGCATGTGAAAACTTTAGCCACGTTTTTTTTTTTTTCCTTTTTTTCTCGAGTTTTACGATATCTCCGAAACTTTTTTTTCACCACACCTTCTTTCTTTGTCCTCAGCCTTTCTGTCGTGCGGTAGCGTATGATCTCATCTGTTATAAGCTTTTCAACTTTTGTTGAAACAAGTATTATTTTAAGGAGAAATTACATATGACCGTATCTACTTAGAAATTATATTCCGATTTTTTCACAGTTTCCACAAAATAGCATAGTAGATAAAATTTTTATTTTCAATTCACATGATATAAATGTTTATTTGGTTGTTGTGAGGCTATATTAATTGGACTGATAGCTTCGCTAATTGCATGGCAAGCATAATGGTTTCTCATTTCAACTCTGATTGAAACAAAGTGTTAACAAAGTCAGAGTGAAACTGAAAAAAAGAAAAAGTTTTTTGTTTTTGTGTAGGGGTAAAAAATACAAGCTGAAATTAGGAGGATTTGTGAAATAAAATCAACGACTGCAATACTTATGTGCTGATTCTCTGTGATGAAATAAAATTAGAAAAAATCACATTAGCCACTTTTCAATTTTGTACCATTCGTATTTACTCTATGGAGCAGCAAGGCGCTCGGAATGAAGGAAAAATAAAATTAAGGACGATCCTTAAGATTCATTCGTTGCTCTTTTGAATTCCCTTTAAGATTTCGCTTTCAAAAACGAGAATTTATTCCATCCTCGAGTTGAAAGCCAATTAAATGCAAGGCAACGGTGCAGGTAATTAATACCCATCTTTCCTCAGCAACGGCAAAAAAGAAGCGATATCTAGTGAATCAGAAAAAGGAATCTGCTAACATTTTGTTATACGTAAACTTGCGTTAAAATAAAATGGAGGTATATCAATAATATTACAGTTGGTACATTAATTTGGATTATAAGAATGTAGAAAAAGTGCAGTGAATCGTATAAATATTTTATTACCGTATATTGTAACGTTTCCTTCGGCAAAAAGTACTAGTTGCTTCTTTGAAAAAAAAAAAAAAAAAGACATCCAACACTCGCTTGTACATGTACTTTGCAAAAAAGCTAGGTGTACTCTGGAGGATTTAGGAACTGCGGTACTTTAATTCCATGTCTTACAAGCCCATAGCTCATTCTGCGACGTGTCCGAAAAGTCTTATATTTCCTTGCAGCCAATGCCTCGCTCTGGTGCTCCGATTAAATCGTTCGATTTTCGCGCTCCCAGAACTGCAAATCTGAAATCCCGGGACCCAAGATTTATACGTATTTGTAGATAGGAAATTGCATGGGAAGAAATTTTTTTTTTTTTTTCTCTTTGAATAATAAATAATACATAATACCAGCATTCAGGAATAAATCGAAGTGCATTGCACAGTCACGAGAACGGGAGCGAACGAAATAAAGAAAGGACATAATAGGGTTGTAGGCGTACTATGGCTCTACGGCGACGCCAATTTTCAGGGAAGAAGGGAAAAGCTTTTACGAGATGCTAATGTGAATAAAAAAGAGGGAAAAAATGGAAGATATTACTTTTTTAAAATTTAACTTTCATGTGCATCCGGGGGATCTTTCGCTAATAAAAAAAAAGTTTTTTGTTTTAGAATTAAATTATACGAAAAAGTATAATGTGATTAAAACTAAAAAAAAAACAAGGCCTTGTCCATTGCTTTATGAAAACCTTTCAACCTTACAGTACAACACTACGATGAAACATAAGACCATATCGATTTGTACACCATGTACAATCAGACGTATTCAACGAAAAGCCACAAAGTTCAACCACATGGCTGATTCTCATCTTTAAAATTGTTTTGTTCTGTCCTCTGAATCTCCTCTGATAAAAGAAGAGAGCCACTCCTGAAATTTATAGAAAACTAAAATCCATATTAAGAGCTCTAGGAATTAAAAAAATTTTTTTGTGAAAATTGTGCTTGTTTGTTTCGAAGGAGTCACCCGAGAAAATGGAAACCGGTATAAATCGATAGACTTCTGAGTTATCTCAACAAAAGAGTCAAAATACGTGAAAGCCGAAAAAAAAGCTTTTCAATGCGCCAAAATTGCGTGTGGTGTATACGAATCTTCTATACGTATATAGCCAATCACAAGAAAGAGTAACGAAGGGGGAAAAAAGCTCTGGCTAAGCTGGGACTTAGAATTTTATCGCCAGAGCAATGAATTTTTATTTGACGGTGAGCTTTTGTCTCAAATGGGAGATACCATAATAACTCTTTTCTTTTCATCCATTATTTTTCGCCTTGTTTTCCTTCTCCCCTTTTGTCGTTTATACTTTTTATAAGCTCTCAGAATAAATGAGTTTTTTTTCTCTCGCACAAAAGCTCCACTCGTTTACCATTTTCTATATATTTTTTTTTCCGTTTTCAAAATTAAATCAGTAAAAAAACATTTTTTATTCACTCGAGGTTACTCCGACAATGCCTAGCTGCAACTATAGATTAAATGTTATCCTTTTGAACGTTACATGTCTTTCGTTCCATAGGCATTAATTTTATTATGAAGGTAAGTTTTTTTTTTTTTGGATCATCCAATCATACTGGGCTGTCAAAATTTTATAAATTTTAAAAAGTCCTTCGCAATAAGACTATCCAGGAATTGCATTGACGTATACATGCTATTATTTAACGATGTACTTAATGGTTTTTTTCATTTCAACAAATAATTTGTTTTAATAACAAAGTCGTAGATAATATTTTACATTCCATGGTTGAAGAATTAAATAGTTGTGGAAATTATATTGCCTTCCGGTTGAACAGTGCACTCAATTTAGGAAAACACCTCTGAACCTGCTTTTGACAACAAGTAAATCTCATTTGTATCAAAATCACGTACTTATATCGAATCCACGGGGGGGAGCTTGTTTAGCATACAAATGTTATTTTGATGAGATTTCACGCTTGTACACATTTTGCTATTTTGCATATAAATTAAACATTTTTAACTTATGATTAGTACACGTACGCAAATCCCCTTTATCCCTTTGGGCCAATTTATACGAGTCGTATGTCCTAACATTTTATATATTTTTTTACTTTCAAGTTTTATTCCTAGTATGGAAAAATTTCACAAGTTTGACAAAGCAGTCGAGTACCGTGAATTTCTTACTCTTCTGACGTAATTTTAACTGACTGATGGATCACATTAACAAAAAAATATGAATATGTGTGCATGTAAACTAATGTCAACCCAATTTGAGTTTTTACATTTATTTTGTGTTTTCCGTATGCCAATAGCTTTTTGTCTTCATGTAATAAAATTTCATTTAAAAACACAATTTTTGATCAAACATATACAGAGGGGAAAAAACGAAATCGAGCGAAAAAATTGCTGGAACCACGATAAAACGGATTAAAAAAAACTGATGCAATATACGGAACGATAAAAAAAAAGAGACACACATTAGTGACTCTCTGCTCTATCCCATCTACAACAGCAGCATGTATAGTACTGGGTACATGTACCCACGTCACAGAGAGCAGAGAAGTTCCTTCGACCGTAGCTACTGTCCCAAGGAACGCGAGTAATGAAATTGTGACGAAATTGAATATCGAGAAGAACAAAGGCTTGAGAGTATACATGAAGTATACACACGAGAGTAGTTGTGCCTATGTGCTCTCCCATCTACTTCTCGTGGTAAAAATGCAATACGCCGATAAGGTTGTAAAATAAAACTAAAGTGCCACTCTTGAGGGAGTGCCCCGAGGAGTGAGATTAAATTTACCTTCAGCGAAATAATCCATGGTCGTCGTTTTCTCAACGTTGAAATGTCAACGTTGAAATTGGTGTGTACTCGCACTTTTTTATGCACCATCTAGTGATCTGTTCGCAATGTACGACCCTGTAAATCTTGAAGCTTTCAAATATCATGCATAAGCTGTTTTGTGGTAAAATCTTTAAGGGTATATAACTGTATCTCTTATGATATCATACAACGTCTGAAAAGTGTTTTTTTGATTTAAATATACTCCTGGGCTTCTTTCGCGTTAATTTTGCACGTAACTTGTGATTATATTGTAATGTATGCAGTTACCACCTTAATGACAACGATTAACGTTGAGGAATAAGGCATTTTATACTTAATCATTTGTAGCAA